CCAAGCACCAAATTATTTTAGTGTTATTAGGTATAAAAATTTAAATAAGGGAATTCCCAAGTATTACTTTTAAGTAGGGTTACATGACAAAATAAAATGTCGCAAATGGGGGGAAAACTGAAAGCTCTGTAGGTGACGTTAGCGCCAAGAGTGGGCTGTCATCTGTCAAGTGTCAAAAGTTTTAAAACGTCATTCTTGCGATTTAAAAAAAAATTGTCTATGCCGGAATTAAAAAAAAACAAAGCTCCCAAACCGGAACGCATCCACATGGAATAAAAGTCATTATCGTTATAAATAATTTAGGAACAATCATTAAAAAAAAATTCAATTTTTTAAGTGAAATTTGATAGCGGTCGTTGCTATGACTACAGTACACAGATAACTTTGTACTTTTATATTTTTCGTTTGTCTGTGGTATATTTAGTACTACTGTCTCTCTTGATGAGAGACTTCTTGTGATTGAAAAGCAGGTTTTAACCTCATTGTCAACGCAATCAGACATAACCTAAATTTTCAAAGTGTTTTGTATTATAAAAGATAAGATCAAGGAAATTCCAATAGAAGACATATGTAGTTTTTACTCGTGCTTCTGATTAGGAATAGGTTATAAATCTATGAACGAAGTATTACTATCGATTCCTTTTAGTTGTCCCATCCTTTATCCTTTATTATATTTATTATAAAAAAAATAATCGCTTTGTAATTTTGGCTGTTAACTAACAGAATAATCATAACTAAAACTTGACTTTTCAGTCGAATCGGTTGTGGATTTTGTAATGTAATTACGAATTATTTATTATCTATTCTTTTTTTTTTCTTTGTTAAAAATATAAACAATTTTAATACGGCGGCTATACTTAAGTTTACATTATTTGAAATAATAAAATGACATTCCCATTTTTCTTTTGTATATATCCCTCCTGAAAAAAATCATTTAACCCAATTTCCTATCCTACCACAATATTGACAGGCCAGTGTTGAATCTACATTTTTTTCTTATTTAAGAAAATTTATTTATCTTGTTAATTGTTTTTTTTTGTTACTAATTTATGTTTTTTTTTTAAATTGTTTTAATTTATTCTGTAGCCGTAGTTTGGCGCACAATTATGTGAATGATTTGTGTTTTATTGTAGTTTTAGAGTCACTGTCAATATTGTATGTATTTCCAATATCCAATCCAAAAATGATCCGATTATGTCATTTTTTATTTCAATAAATGTATTTTTTCATGTGACTTTTGCTTTATTTTTCTCTTACCTGAATCTAGAAATAGCGTTAAATATACCAGCAATAAGATAGAGATTTGATAAATAAAATAAAACTAATAATTACTAAGGCTATATTGAACCGAATTTAAAAAGGAAGAGGTTCTCAATTCGTCTGTATGTTTTTTGTCTTAATTCAATATATTTCCGAGCAAAGCCGGATTCTAGCAATTATAAAGTAAACAGTATAAAAAAAGGGTTAAAAAAACATCTAGATAATCATTAAAATAATATTTATTCATCTAATTAATGAGATACAAGATTTCCATTTAAGACATAATTTTCGTATTTCAAATTGAAATCCAGACTATTGCTTGTGTTTTCATTAGCACGATTACCTAAGAATTGTTGTAATAACTAGGTATAGCAGAAAAGAAAGATGTCTTAGCAAGTACATAGCTAATTATAATTAAAAATATATTGGATGTCACCATAATTGGTAGCATTAATTATAATTACTCATCCACTATATGCAATTTCAACACTTTAATAATAAGTACCTGGATCACCGGTATTTATTTTTAAATTGTGTTTTTTAGAAATTATATTTAAGTAAGAATTACTATAATAATAAAATATGAATAATATTTTTCGATCTTACCGATAGAAAAAGATAAGTTTATGTTTAAGTTGATTATCGATAAAACATGAATAAAATGACATTTTCTAAAAAATAATTCCTAGCTAGATCGATTTATCGCCCCCGACACCTATATACTAAATTTTATGAAAATCGTTGGAGCCGATTCCGAGATTCCAATTATATTTATACAAGAATTGCTCATTTAAAGATGTAAGATAGAAAAAGATAAATGTACATATGTAAATCGGAAATCGAAAAACATATTGGGATTCGAACCCAGGACCTGCAGATTGCAAGCCAAGTGCTTGACCCCTGAGCCACCGACGCTTCATACATATTGCTAACTACTAAAAATAAGCTAAGTATGGTGGTGTTTTCTCCCTGATAGAAATGATAGTTTTAGTCCGACCAAGGAAATCTGATCCGGTGAGCATAAGTCATATTAAATTTTGATAGGTCACTAGCGCCTCTCTGTTATTCTCAAAAAATGTCACAAAATCACACCGTAACTTGTTATTTTTTTCTTTTACGTCATTTTCTATACCTTTGTAGGTAACATATTTTCTGACAGACCGCGATAGCAGCGTCCCTCTTATTATTATTCTTTTGCAATTATAATTTTCTATTATAGATACGTCGCGTATCTGATGAGCCGATCGTAGTCAAGAAGTCAGCAGTAAGATCTATCAAGTTCGATCAGGCACCAGCGGAGACTGCAACGGATGATAAACCTATGTTATTACTGGTAAGTAGCTTTTATTCAATACACTTGAATTAGATGGCACCACTGGCGTTTTAAAACACGCTATTTAAATGTTATTAATAATGTTACCCACTTAGGTAGCTTAACGAAATAATAGTCCTGGAGCCTATTTACTCTTAAACTAGGTTTAGCCTCCCTGCCAAGCCTGATGAAGCTGTGTGCCTCCTCAAGGCCAACAGTGGAAATTCAGTCACAAAAGAAAAGTTTAAAGTTGGAGGACAAATAATACGATTTATTTTAGCTTTGTTTTACAGCAATTATTGTCAATTTTCTGTAAAACTATTAACTATGGTGCTTTCAACAGAATGATAACAAATGGGAGATATACGCGTGTGGCAAGACTCAAGACCAGTTGGATCTAACAGTTTTAGCTCATCAGTACCTAAGGAATACAGCCTTAAAACCTCGATCTTTGAACTTTTAGAGTTTTATACATATATAGAAATACTCAACCCGGTTTCTGAAAGTTTTATCAAACTTGTATCCAGAAAAAATCCTTCTAAATTTAATTCTTAAAATCATTAATTGTAAAAGTGCGTTTCCACTACTGTTTTCTCTATTCTTTCGAAAAGAACGTTTGAAATAATAATATGCATCACTGCAGTGGAAACCGATATTAAACATGGGTTCAAGAAACTCAAACTTTTTTAAAGAATGATTAATTATAATTTAAAATTGTTAGACATTTCAGAAACCGGGTATAAGTTAGTGATAGATAACACAGTGTGATTTTAGTTTTAAGAACACTTTAGTTTTAGTAGTATTTAGTAGTTTATGTCTTAGTTCGTTTATTTTACTGTAAAAATTATGGTTATTATAGAAATTGAAAGAATTTTCATATCATGGTGTATTTTTTAAACATTCTGAGCTCTCAAAAATGTTCTTTTTATTATAATTATCTTGGAATTTTTAAACAGCTAAAAACGGTCATTATGTTAAATGACCTAAATGTTGCCATATTTAGAATGTTTATTATCTGTAGAAAAATTGCTAATGTCTTTTGTTTTATAATGTTGCCAGCAATAATATTTTGTAAGGTAATTTTAATTTAGAATTGATTTTAGTGGTGTTTTGTGTTATGAATATTTATTTCTTCGTATGATTAAGTTTTATCTTTTGATTTTATATTTAAGTATATTTGTAGAACGTCACCATTAGTCCATAGATTAAAATATCTATGGTTTGTGTCTATGTCTATGGTCAAAATAAACTTTTATTCAATAACCATAAACAAATTATTGTTTCTAGTGCTGTAATAAAGATACTTTTTCAGATTAGTTTACAGTTTTATCTTTTAGATATAATTTCTTAGAATCTTAATAAAAGGAGAGATATTTTTATGTCCAACAAAAATAAATCATGAACAAGTTAATTAATATTTTTGTCAACTACAATATTTTTCTACTTGAATGTCATTAAAAGAATATGACTTTAGTCTAAAATTTAATAAAAGTTTTTAAATAAGTAAAATTATAATGATAACTGTACATAATTGCTTTTATTTGAAATATATTTTTTATTCGCAGCGAAGTCAAAGGGTTTATCACGAATATTTACGTGACAGTTGCGAGATTCGTAACGTCATCGACAATGTCAAAATTTGTATAAGATTTATTAGTGTATTTTACGAAACGGTTTTGTCGTATACGAATAATTTCTCACGAATATTCATGCTAGGCTCTTAAGTCGACTAAGTTATTGTGCTCGGGTAGCATTTTTTTATCAGTGACAAAAAACATTCTTTTTTTTTTATTTTATTCGTGTTAAATAGTTTGTAGAGATATTTTTTAACTTGTGAGAACAGCATGCGTTGTGTAAATATTTAGTTTTTAAGGGTTTTTAAAGAGGAATAAAGATTTTGGGCAATGCACACTCAGTTTATTTATTCCCATATATTAAAAAGTCAAAAAAAATATATATCTAATCTTAAATATAAAATTCTCGTGTCACAATTTTCGTTCCCATACTTTAAACTTTTAAACTTTACGTAAACGGCTTGACCGATTCTCATAAAATTTTGTGAGCATATTGAGTAGGTCTGAGAATCGGCCAACATCTATTTTTAATCCCTCGCAGACGGAGTCGCGGGCGACAGCTAGTATTATATAAAATTATGTTAAAACTAGCTGTCGCCCGCGACTCCATCCGTAAGGGTTTAATAAAACTTAATAGCCTATGTGTTTTTCCAGACAATGTTTTAAGCAGAGATTCGATTACCAGATATGGATATACATTCTAACAAACATCCATCCATCTAAACATTCGCATTTATAATAATAGTAAATAGTAAGATATAAACCAATAGTAAGATTTTGTTACAACTTAAACCGGTTAAGTTTATTTAACTTAGCGAAGAAATTGAATACACTTTATGCAGTACTAAGTTAAAGTTAGCACTTAGCTGATGAAAACCGAGGCTTCAGTTTCGAAGTTAGTACAACTGTAATTACACCCAGTCCCCGCAACTTGCTTAACTTAACAACTTATAAGCAAGCTAAGCTAAGCTTAGAATAACATCTGGAATCACTAGTCCCCTTGTTTCAAGTTAACAGATATTGAAACAGTTTTTAAGTTATAAATTTCAAGTTATTTTGGAAAATTTCATCGATTATTTTTATAATTTATATTATGTAGAAATTATATTTACACTAGATGTCGCCCGCGGTTCCGTTCGTGTGTAACTGAGTTCTTCCACACTATATTCTACATTACGCAGTCCTTCTACAGATACGTTCTAACACCCATCCATCCAAACATTCGCATTACATATTAGTAATAATAAAGCGATTTTTAATCTCTTTAGTGCAGTCCATTAAAATATCAGTTAAGTATCGATAAAAAAGCAACGGCTTAAAGCTATCAATATGAGTGAATCTGTTGATTGGTCGACGTAATCCTCTTTATGCCGAATTCATCGCGAATATAAAGCTTTGTAGATACACATACGGAGAGCTATATATTACTAGCTGTCGCCCGCGGCTCTGTACGCGCTGAATAAAAAAACTTAATTAGTAGTATGTTATTTCAGACTATGTTCTATATGTATGCCAAATTTCATCGAGATCCGTTAAGCCGTTCTGAAGATACCTTTAAACAAAAACGTAAGATAAACGAGAATGTTTGGATAGATGTAGGGATGTTTATTAGAAGGTGTCTCCAAAACGGTTGCATGGATCTTGTTGAAGTTTAATATAGATGTAGAGTACTGTCTGGTAGAACATATTTAATAAATTACAATGCAAAATTTATTTCTAAAGAATTATATCGTTTAACGTAAATGAATAGAGTAAAAATATTCTAGTCGCGTAGAGCTGAGCTGACACACTGAAGGGGATTCATTGGTCTGGAAAGTGTTACACTCTGTGAATACATCAGTTTGTCTTTGATGTGTCGAGACAAAATTTATCTCTAAACAAACTTTTACGAACTGAAAAAGACTTTTGATAAAAACTACGAGAAATCAAGTAATATGATTCTATTGAGTTTTATGTAAAGACTAGATTTTTTTTTAGTTTCCATTAAAATTATCTTGTTATTCATTTAAAAATGTTAAAAAAAGATTCAAATGAAAATTTATATGAGCAAAAGTATATTTTCATCATTCTAAAGATATAATACCTATTTAAAATTGAGGAAAAAAACAAGGCACTTTTTCAATATTAGCTGTTGCCCGCGACTCCGTCCGAGCAGGTTTAAAAAAAAACTTAAGTAGTAACCTATGTGTTCTTCTAGACTATGTTCTACATCTATTCCCAAAATTCAGCGAAATCCATACAGCCGTTTACGAGATAACTTTTAACTAACATCCATACATCTAAAAATTCGTAGTTTATAGTATTTTAAGTTATAAATATATCCTAAAGCCTTCCTAATAAATGGACTATCCAACAAAAAGAGAATTTATCAAATCGGACCAGTAGTTCCTGAGATTAGCGCGTTTAAACAAACAAACTCTTCCGTTTTATAATATTGGTATATATATATAAACAAAGCATAGCCCAGTAGCTGGACTGGACATTAAGCTGGACCGTTTCTGACTTAATATCCAATTCCGGCTGTAAAATTAATCCCTCGAGGCCATTAAATAGAAGCGGCTTGCAATTTAGACGTGCATAATTTACAGTTAATTGACCCAGTAAAGCCGAATACAAAACATTCGCGTGACCCCTGTGACGACGCTGAAAAAACGAATTAAACACGTAATCCAATTGAGTAGATAAAGAACATAGGTTTCCATTTGTATGGGATGGATATATTTATCAGTGTTCACCGACAAATAATGAATTCTGTCCGTTTATAAATTGCCTAAGCTAATTGTAAAAACTCGTCAAATTGCATATCGACTGGAAGTAGTCTAGCCTTCTGTATCTTCCTAATTAAAAAATTAAAAAAGTTCAAATCGATATATAAACACGGTTAAACACTGACGTATATACGTCCGGTGGCGGCACCGACTAGTTTCGAGCCCATCGGGGGCCCTTCATCAGGATGAGTGGCAGTGGTATTATTTCGCGGACGCGGCCCGTCGCTCACTGAGCGAGGGGCCGCGTCCGCGGTCTAAACTAGTCGGTGCCGCCACCGGACGTATATACGTGAGTGTTTAGCCGTGTTTATATATCAGTTTAGTATAATGTCTCACGAAAGTTTGAATAATTTATAGTTCAAATCCTCAAATTCACAGTTTGCATTTATTTTTATTTTTCTTCTTAAGTATACTATAGTCCTTTTAATTTTAAGTATACTTAAATCTCACTAATATTATAAATGAGAATGTTTAGATGGATGGATGGATGTTTTTTGATGATGTCTACAAAACGGCTGAACGGATTTCAGTAAAATTTGGCATACATATAGAACGTAATTATATTTAAATAATAATTAAATGTTACCTAATAAATTTCGGGAGCAGAAAGCAGAAACCAGAGAATGGGGATAGAAATTGGTGGAGGAAAGGCAAATGAAGAGAATTATGCATTAATTTTCAATTAAATAAGTCTATTACTGCAAAGTTTTCAAAGAAATAACATTTTATAACGATCAAAAACGTTTCATTAGTCCGAAGCTTCAATTGAAACTTTCCATCAGTGTAATTGAAACTCGGGCTCACAACTTGAATCGTTCAAGTTAAATTGAGCACTAATTTAATTTGTAACTTATTCGCCAATTAAAAGCTCTAACGATTCATCGGTATCGATAAGTTTGATCCTAGTATAAACATACATATACAGTCGCCCTGAGCAACCCTGGGGCGCCCCACATCCTGGGGCGCCCACATTTTTATTTTGTGTATACTAAGAGGATATAAAAGGGCGCCTGCTACGCCTTTTATGGTCGGCGCCCTGGACAGTCGCCCTCATCTAGCCCTACCCTAACAGCTCCGAATACAGTTTTAGTAGACACAAAATATTGATCGGATATGACTCGTTAAATGTTTTCGAACATGTGTTTCGGCAGTGTATACCCACGGTAAGATTGTAAATTATAATTATTAGTAAGTGGTAGAGACCATAACATCATCGGTTGTACAAACTGTTTCCAACGGTCAAGTACTAGGATCTCATAAAAGTCAGACGTGAACTATGCTGGTTAAAGAAGGGTTTTCGCGTAATGACTGATTAGCTTCGATCTGTGTTTAATCCCATAGAGAATAGTACAACGAAATGAAAAACGTTTTATTCTACTCGATTGATTTCATTGTTGAGTACTTTTTTAATTTAATAAAAAACAATTGTTTAATTATGATTGCTTTTTATTTTTTGCTTTGTACACAATTGGCATGGTGGAAATAATTTTGCATCGTCCGCTCCCTAAGGATGGAAACGGTTATAAAAATTGATTAGACAGCAATTGATAGGGTTATTCATTCAATAAATTTCCTATTCTAAGTAGGAAAAACGTTAAGGAAAGTTAAATCAATTAGCTAAAAAACTTAACAAAAAATAAATATATTAATAGCTATAGCCAACGACTCCGTCGGCGTGAGATTAAAAAGTGAGAATCGGCTTTTTAATCTCGCGCCGACGGACCTACTGAATATGCCTATAAAATTTTAAAAAAATCTTTCAAGCCGTTTCGAAGGAGTATGGTAACTAACATTGCGACAAGAGAATTTTAATATAAGATGTCGTTATAATTATTTTGAATCTTTTGGGAAAATCTTAGTTTAAATATGATTTTCCACTTTTATACAGTAAAGGCATAGGAATCCCAAGTTACGATGTTTATAGAGTTTTGAACTCCGTTTTAATTATACGTGAGTTTTTAATATCTCTAGATAACGTATACAATTCCATTATTTATATTATAGTCAGTTCCAGTCAGCAATCAACTGCGCTGTGAAATATTTGAACATCGCTTGAGGGTACAGCATACAATATTGATTGCGCTACATTAAACCCTTTGAGCTATTACTTTTACATATATTGACTGTGGAAAGCTATCAATGACTCAAAGGACTCGTACGTTGTATATATAACAGAATTATTTTATAACAGAAGGGGGCAAACGAGCAGCGGGAACACCGAGGTGTTCATCGACGCCCATTTTTTTTTATATCATAAGGTGGCAAACGAGCGAGCGGCCACCTGAAATCGCTGATATAGCGAAGAGACCGTTGCCCATAAACATACGCAAATGCATATGCGTTGCCTATGGACATCAGCATGACCAGAGGAACCGCAGATGCGTTGCCGGCCTTTGAGGTGGTGATAAGCTCGCTTCTTGAAGGACTCTAAGTCGTAGCGGTTTGGAAATACCGCCGAGGACAGACCATTCCACAACGCTGCTGTGCGAGGCAGGAAGTTTCGCGCGTTTATATAAATTAATATATAAAAATCGTAAAAAGCAAGTTGCAGGCAACATATAAACTAGGAAAATCATGGCGTAATTTATTTATTTATTTATTAGACAAGTACACACAACAGATAAATTATGCAACATTGACCAAAGTAATACAATATACAACACAATACAACTGATAATTTATCCAATAACAGGTGTACAACATTCATACAAAACAAACAAGTATAAAACACAAAAAAAATTATATGAACAAACTAAGGAAAGAAAACAAAAAAAAAAAAATAATAATCTAACAATACATTTAGGTCTGTGCCTCTGGAGGTGTGGAAATTAGTTTTTTGTAATTACGTTGGCGTAATGAAGATTTCATTTTTTTCACTGTATTAGTATAAATAATTTTCTGATTATTATTTTAAATTTGTAGTAACAAGATAGAGTGGAAAAACATCTGTAGATGTAAAAAAAAAAACTTTAATTTCTCTCTTATACTAATTTTAATTTCACTGTCAATTGATTCAATATCAGAAAAACATATATTTTATTTATAAATACTATTAACAAAATATCACATCAAATAAAAATAATTTACAATTCTTCCAAGTCAATTATTTTTCAAAAGCGATAGTTGAACTTAGCCAAGCCACCGAATTCTGAGTTGTATCCCCCAGTTTTCCCGTACGTGCCTTGAAGAGAGAAGTCTCCATTTTTACCAACAGGCCATGCACCGCCCGCGCCAGCCGACACCTGAAACATTAAGACCACAGATTAAATTTATTATTGTACAAAGTGGCAAACGATGTCCTGAAATCTCTAAAATAGCAAATAAAGCGACCATAGACATTTGCAGTAAGAAGGTAGCGATGCATACTTTTAAAGAAAAAGATTGGAATTGGTCTCTGGCATATTTATAAATCGAAACCCGGAATTACTTCCCGGAATTTCTGTCTGTATGGTTGTGGTGGTTTATTTGAGTTTATTTAGCAGCTAAAATGGACTACTACGTTTAAAGAAATGAAAGTTCTTACAGAAGTAGGTCCATGTATCATCTTGCTAACGTCCAGAGAAGCAGCAGCGTTATCGTTGCGCCAGTTGAGGGCTCCTCCGAGGTGACTGGAGTCTCCGTAGGGTCCGAGCACCCGTGTGCCATACGCCTGCCCGTCCAATTTACCGCGGTGGTCGTCAAAGAAATTATGCTCGTATCCACCTTTTCCCTACGCAAGTTACAAAAAATATTTGGTATTGTCAGCGAATGCTTCCATAATTTTCTATAAGAAGTTCTTATTTCATGAACATGTTGACCAGTTGTCGCATGCGACTATAAAAGCTTAATTAGTACGCTATATGTTCTTCCAGACTCATTTGGCAAATTTCAGTAAGATCCGTTCAACCGTTCTGGAGATACCTTCTATCAAACATCCATCCAAACATTAGCATTTATAATATTAGTAAGATATTGGAGGAATCTTGTAGATATTCCTTACAGCTAATGACATATATATATATATACTCACAAATAGACCAGCGTCATTTTGTCCAAGTGTACCAAATACGCGGCCATTGTCAGTCTTGTGGTCGAATGTGACGTCACGGCGATATCTCTGGTACTGTTCGATGGGGCTTTCTGGTGTGATATACCATACTGGATAACTGAAAAAAAAACATATGAAATCAATTACTCTATGAGAATGATTTATGTTCAGAATTCTCAGGAGAATCATGGTTAATTACATAGTTAATAGTCTCAATTAAAATAGCAATTAATGGCACGTAACGCAATGACCCGAAGTGGGCCTTTGTCAACAAAATTCTCCACTTTCCCCGATCCCGCACCGTCCCAACCCAGTGCCGGACATGTAGCTTCCAAATATCTTTATCATTTTCATCTCTCCACCGATATCTGGGAAGGCCAACTGGGCGACTTATGTATACGCGGACCCCTAACATTATCCATTCTCACCTAGCGGCTGAGGCAGTGCAGTCGTTGCGCTTTTACGTTAACAATTGAAATAATGCTAATTAAAATGAATAATAAAGATTAATACCTTTCCAGCAATATATCTTGCGCTGCGACAGCGGCGATAAAACAGAACAATACAAATACGAACTTCATTGTTTCTGTAACACAAAAAATAACAAAATACTACTATTAAAAAAGTAATGAGATTGAATGTGTATGGCTATAAAGGTAGAGGAAGACCAAAAAAAGTATGGTGTGAAAGAGGATATGACGGCTGATAGAGATGTATGGAGTAGTACAAACTGTGCCGACCCTCAATAGGGATAAGGGCAGATTGAAGATGACTATTAAAAAAACATTATAACATTTTTGAACTTACCTTTTAATTTTGTAATTTATAAATTTTATCGTAAATATTTCTTTATTCTATTCACACTGAGTTGCTTTGCTTGAATGATAATTTTACAGGACTCGCTCTGGTATATATTATGCATCTCCGGGACTTTTTTACAGATCTCCGCGCCCCTCTATTATGTTATTCCCCTACCCCGTCCACATTTGAGGATAACGAAAGTTCATATCGTTCTTTGATAGTATAGTACAAATGTTATCATTCATCCCAACGGTGAATCCCCAAATATATTCTTTATACGTAACATTAAAAAAAATAGTTCTAAATGATTGGAAGAGATAACTTTGTATGTTATATCGTTGTCTTCATACTAGCGGTCGCCCGCGACTTTGTCGGCGCATATTTAAAAAAGTACAACCGTTACTGAGATTACCCGGAACAACAACCAGACAGACAGAAAATAATAAAAAATGTTTTTTGTTATCACTAACGGAAATACATCGTGTATCCGAAATATAATTTTTTCTTGATTTTTCATACAGACACTCATATTTTTTTTATATAGATCAAGAATTAAACTTTATAAACAAATAAACGTCAATTTTAAATGCAGCTATTAAAATATTATTATCAAATTAAATCTATTCTTTTCGTTCTTATAAATCACTAAAGATCAAAAAGATCAAAGAGATTGTCCGTCTGAGTAGCGTTTAATGTTTACTTAACAGTCTCTTAGTGTATATTTTACTAAATTCACACTAAGGATCGTATAGTAATCATTAAGCGCGATACTCAATCTTTTCTTTGATCTTTAGTTAGATTGATTTATATATTAATTTACATTGTGTTTTAAACAAAAGACGTATATGGGTTCTCCATAGTATGGTACTTACAAACGAAACTCGGTCACTTAGTTACTTAACTTTAATTGCAGGCATTTCTCTTTTAAACGAACCGAAATTCAAGCTACATTTTAGCAATAGTTCTAAATGGCATTTAGATTTACTCGCTTAAAGAAAAATCGACCATACATTGCTCTATTTTCTTTAAACTTCAAGCTTACAACAACAATTTTTTTTAACTCAGAACATGTGACGTCTCCGCCGAAGGGCAAAAGCCTACATAGCTAGTTGTCGCCCGCGACTCCGTCCGTGCGGAATTAAAAAACTAATAATTAGACATTGTGTTCTTTCAGACTAAGTTCTACATGTGTGCCAAATTTGTTAAGATTTGTTCAGCCGTTCTAACCAACCATCTAAACTTTTGCATTTATAATATGTTTTAATATATTTGTATATGTAATTGACCAATAGTTAGGTATTTTCCGGTATTTTTCGATATTAATTCGTATTTTTTTTCTTAAATATCAATATCGATAAGAGGTAATATATTTTATGTAAATATATATTTGAAGCGCCAATAGCCTAATGTTTATGGGTACGGATTCCCGATCTTGTGGTCAAGAGCTCGAATCCCGCCATTCAACTATTGTCGTAAACCATACTCTAGCACAAGACTAGAGCTTAGTTGGAATGGTACATGATATATTGGTAAATTAAGGGAAATCTGCTAATATTTTCATCAAAAATAAATATATAGCTAATCTACAAGATTACAGCGAACATTGTATTGTGGTAAATTTATTATATCCTGCGGTTTTATTACAATTATGTTGATTAATAAGCCTACCGCGGTTCTGTGGTTCATTCGGCCGTTAAGTCGACGCACAACTCAAACTTTGTAAAGTTTCTCGTAATTAATTACAAGGGAACTCTGAGCCCTAGTATACTTTATTAATTAAGTGACGGTAGAAAATTGATGTACAGTCAGCTGCATAATTATGTATACTTTTTAAAAGCTTTAAAAACTAGTAGTTGGTTTCAAAAATATGCATGCATTGGTCCGTATGCTTCCGACTATGATTACATGTTTCTTTTGCTTTTTTTTGGGCGGCGCTATGCAGCCTTCTGGTTCTCCGGCTGGCTCGTTGAGTCCAAGAACCTTATTTTCTTTATTTATACGCATCGTTTACTATTATTACATGTTATTGATGAATCATGCTTACGTATTTTGAAATTGAAGACTTACACAAGTTTCTACAGTTTGTAAGTGTATACATTTAGTTAGCTGACTGTACATGAGATTTAAACATTTATTGAAACATTGATATAATTTATAATTTTCAACTTTGTGATATCGACAAAATTAATTAACTTAAAAGGCGATATAAGGAGTTGCTGACATATATAAAAACAAGGCGAAAAATGTCAGAATGTGCCTATGGATTCTATCCAAAGACTAACGTGACATGTCTTTTCATGTCTTGTGTGGATTTATTACTCGTACATTTGCTTGTAATTATTTGCTTTATAAGTAGTTAGGTTGTAATTAAAAGATCGATGTATGAAATCTATTTCATTCAATACGACTCAAAGGCACTACGTTGGTAATCAATTAGGTTGATTGCGACTTCGAGCGACGCTACGTCTGAATGTCGATTTCAATCAAATCCGACACCAGTGGGTCTAGCACGGATATTTGCGACAAGCGCCTTCATATTATCATCGTCAATTATGAAGTAGCTTTCGCTCGCGACTCCGTCCACGCGGTATTAAAAAGCGTCAATAGCCTAATGGTTAAGGGTATGGATTTCCGATCACGATCGGAAATCCATACCATTCGTCTATTGTCGTAAACCATATCCTAGCACAAGTATAGAGCTTAGTTGGAATGGTAAAAGAAATATTAGTTAATTTACAAAAAATCTGCTGATATTTAAAAAAAAAACCTTAGTAGCTAGTTAGACTACGTTCAAAACACATCTTTGCTGATTTCTTCTGGTCGTGAAAAGGTTGATATAAAATAATTTTGTTTATAAAAATACGAAGCCAATTGTCCCAAATATTATCAGGCCCACTGATATATAGAATTGGTAATATTGACGTTCAAATATCAAAAGCTTTGAATATCGTATAAAGCAAATATGTATACAAGATAGAGAACAAAAGTAGCTTTGTAACTGTAATGTACAAAGTTAAATTATCCTTCTGTAACACGCGATACCAATTTAAGTTTTATTCAAGTTAAAATTTGTTATAAATCGAAATTCAAAGTTTCGACATTGATATTATTATAAATGTTTATTGTAGTTTTATTTTGTAGTCTTATCAGTGGAGTAATTTTATTAAGTGAAAATAAGTAGCCTATGTGTTCTTCCAGACTATGTTCTACATCTGCATCAAATTCCAGCGAGATTCTTTTTTTTTTTTTTTATAACGGAAGGGGGCAAACGAGCAGCGGGAACACCGAGGTGTTCAACGACGCCCATGGACATCAGCAATACCAGAGGAACCGCAGATGCGTTGCCGGCCTTTCATTCTAGGTTTTAGTTACCTTCTAACAGCCATCCATCCAAACATTCGCATTTATATTAGTAGTAAGCAATATAACTCAAATGTAAAATGTTAGGACTGACATACACGGACTGTTTCTTTCAATTGGTATCTACAGCTTTGTATAATTGGAATTGTTGATCAGTTGACTTTTGCCATACACGAATTGCACCTCTAAAATACTGCTGTACACCGCGTTTATGGAGGTACTTAACATAATTCTTCTATGTAAAACTAATTTTTTAGTTTAAAAACAAATACATTTTACAGAAAATCGTTACTAAATAACAGTGGTAGAGCCGACTTCAACATCTTCGCACGAAACGGCCCGGCTCACCCGGTGAAATACCACGACCACAGAGAAGACAGGCGTGAACTGGAAGCAATTCCGCGTACAGTCTGATGAGTGTGCGTCCCGGAGGCCTAATTTAGTCCTCTTTACCTTCCCACCCTTTTTCTTATACTTATTTATCTCTTGTTAATCTTTAGTAGGAAAGTTGAAGTAGACTTTCCGGATGAGAGGATGCATGTGAAGGAAAAATATTTTCTTTCTGTGCATCCTCTCCTCCGTCGATGAAAGGTAGGCAACGCATATGCAATTTGCGTATGTCTATGGGCAACGGTCACTTCGCTATTTCAGCGATTTCAGGTGTCCGCTCACTCGTTTGCCACCTTATGATATAAAAAAAAACTTAATCTACAAATAAATAAATATGTAGTAATGTTATATTTTATTGTTATCGATGTTTGTGCAAACATTAACTATTCATTTCTCAGTTAAAGATTAACTTATACGTTATTTATTTTATCTTGTCTGGTCTGGCAATTTCAGGAGAGGAAATGATTCGAAACATTGGAAATGGCTTTCCATAATTGATTTCAGTTGACTTCATTTCCTTAAATCTACAAATCTTATTATATATACAATATTATCTTGTAAAGGAATTCAGAAATAGTAATAGAGCAGAAGAATTGTTACCTTTTTATTCAGTTTTGGTCTGAAGACGTTCTTATAAGATATAATTATATATACGTTCTTATATTATATAATTCGTGTAATTTTAGCCCGTTTTAACTATAGTAAAGACAGGATACTTTTGTCAGTATTCTCTAGAACTTCATACACAACTAAACCGATGTAGAAATATTAAAAAACCTTGACCATTTTTAATCAACATCAAAAAGGTGGAGATTCTCGAATTGATATTTTTTCAGCCAATTGAGTTATTCGCTATGTTCTCGATTAAAAAAAGGTATACAGTTGTTACAAATAAATTGGGTTCAATGAATTTTGGTATTGATTAGGAAAGCCTTTGGGATTACAACAGTCAGTTATCGATTAGTCTATTTTGGTTCACGTAGTAGAGTAGGATATTATAATAGAGTAATACTATATATTTGTAAACTACAAAATTGTTTTGTCTATTCTGTTTTATAAAAGCGATAGTAATGTTTATCTCTTTTGCAATAACTTTTTGTAGAGATATTTAATCGATTTGCATTCTTATTCAAAGGTATTTTATTATTAACTTCAAAAAATCCACAGTTTCATTACAGTAATTATAAGTCGTGATAATAAAACAGTTGGCAAAAATTAACTATACTACTTCTCAACTTACGTCTATAGACAACGTGATAGGTTGCGAGCTGTATCGCCGACTTTTTCTGATATGTGCAGGTTGCATCATGATGTTAATGTTCGTCGT